GAGGTACCCTAGCCGGATATTCACCATGCTTCAACTTGTCTTGGGTGATATCCTCTTCTCTCTTCCGTTTTCAATCTTTCTATCGGCCTTTCTTGGCCAACTTCTCTTTTCCTCTTCCCCTCCAAGCCCAACCTCACCATCAAGTGGTGTGGGGAAGGCAGGCCGCGGCCGCTTGACAGATGAAGCATTTTGGGACCATCTTTGCTATCTTCTGCCAGATGGGACAATTTGTGGACATCTGTGGCAGGGATGGGGCGATTTGCTGATGTTTGTGTAGGTGGTCGAGGACTGGTCAACGAGGCTCTGGCAACCTAATCCAGGCTGTGGGAACCCGTGGCGATGGATGGATGACACCGAGGAATGGTGTCGCTAACGGGGCCTCTGGGAAACAGGGCGACATCCCAGAGTAAACAGCCTTAGCCCTGTGCAGGGGGCACCACAGGGCTGGACCAATCCTTTCCCCCGTCACTCGTAGGAGAAGGAAAACTTTTGGCCTTCTTCGTAGACGAGAACAGGGATTGGAAGAGCAATCTTCAGGAACCTGAACGAAAAGGGTCTTTCATATTGAAGTGGCCCTTAATAGGCACCATGAGTCGTATGTGGTAAAATTGATAACGGCATGTAGGTGAGATACAATGGGCCACTAGGCCTAAGTGTCGTCGGAGCCTACAACGGGGTGGAGTGTTTAGTGGGTATACCATTGAGGGGACTCCCACACTATCATATGGGGGATTGGACCCATATGATGTCTATAAAAGATTTCAACCACCTCGGCGAAAAAAAAATGCAGCCAGAATACTCTTTGAAAGGTTTATCACTGCTGTCATGCATGGACACCTTCTGCGAATGCATTTTGGAAACTCAAAAAAAATAGGGGACAGCGAGGCCATTGTAACCAGTTTAAATATTAGTAGTGAATTTGATTTGATAACTTCTTCCGAATATAAAATACTACGGCAGCAAGTACTTAATTAGTTAGTAAAAAACTTTGAGCGCCTTTACGATATAATCTTGTACCTTTTGATAATAAAATCTCTCGACATCAGAGCATCTCTAACACAACTATAATAATGCAAAATGTATTCATAAATATAATTGTTGGAAACTATCACCAAGTTATTTACATTTGTTGCAAAAATGCCTTGCTTTGTTGTTTATATCACTCATCGCTCACTATAAACAGACGGTATACGGAATCTTCTTACTTCTTAGAAGCTTGAAGTAATTTGTGCTACTTGGGTAGTATACGAAATCACCCTGTATACCTGCTCTAGTTTATTTCTCTCTCCGACGAAGTTCCGTCATGACAAGCCGACGCCGGTTTGGCGTCGAGGCGTCCCTTCAAACATGGCATTTAACCCCGATTCGAAATGATAACTACAATTCTTTTTCTTTATGCTCCTTTGCCAGAATTTATCTGCCGCGTTTTTCTGGATAACAACGGGATAACATTTACAACTTTACAAGTAATTTCTCGGCCCGACAGACAAAAAATGGGAAGTTATATACAGTGCCGGATTAACCGTATCAGGGCCCCTAGGCAATGGAATTTTTCTTTTCTTACTTTTTAAGATATAATTTTTCTATTACAAAAAGTCCAATCGATCAGATTGTCTATTTTGGTATCTCTTCTTCAATCTCTTATGTGATATTGCGGAAACATGGTTATCTTGACTTGATGCTATAGCACCTCACATGCCTGACTCATTGCTTTTTGCTTTTATTTTGAAATGATCCTAATGAATAGGTTATAGTTATAGATATATGGAAGGGAAGTCGTTGCTGACCAGTAGGAATGAAACCAGTGTATATTGGGGGTAGTAGCAGTGTAAAAGAAATACTCTTTAAAATTTATCCAAGCTTTCGGAAATGTTTATTTCCATCATCAGGAACACTACAATGATTAGAGAGTGTAAATTCAATGGAAAACCACCAGGGCCATGCCTTGTACTTACATCTTTGGTGAGGTTGGTTACAACGTTGTTCGATACATAAAATTGTATAATAGACGGTGAAAAAAAAAACGTGGAAAACAGCAAGGATGAAATTATTTCGTCTAATAATCAAGTTATTTCGCTCACAGTGTTGAGTGCTTTCCATTTTCCACATGTTCAATCAGATATTAAAAATTAACACGTACCTATTCCCAAATCAAATTTTCAGAACGGGTTATGTGGTACCCTGTATACAGAGATTATACACTCCCCAATCTCTGCTGTATATATATGACACAAATTCGAAACGTGTCCATGCAATATCGATTCAACCATTTGGACGAGAAAAAATAGTATACTAGGTAGTTTTAAAATAGCTTCATTACTCCACAGTGAACATCGATGTGATATGCTCTGTGCTCTGTCGTCAGGAAATCTAATTAGTGTTAATTGGATTGAAAACTAGATTCTATTATTATGAGACATAAATACGTGCCAACTTTATAGCTGATATAAGTTTACCTATAGGTAAAAATTTACCAGAAAAGTAGTATATTTTTCTGTGACTGGAAAATAGTTTGAAATTCAATCTCTGTTGCCAAGTTATAAAATGTCACTTTCCATAAGCTACTTTTTTCCCACGGACAATGTATATCACATATATACAGGGTGATTCAAAAGTAAGCGGCATCCTTTCAGAGGCGTATTCCTTGCATGAAAATAAGGCAAAAAGTTCCTATTGATAAGGATCCGAAAATGCTTCCTAAGGGAGCTACGGCCCTTTGAATAGGACACCTCAAAGACGGTTTTTTCTCTATAACTTTAAAATCCTTCACAACAAATTTTTAAAAATTGGTGTACGGCATAAACATTCGATGGTAAATAGGACTCCGTATTCGAAATAATTTCCAAACGAAATCACAGTAACCTGAATATCCGGAGAAGAAGGGATATTTTTACACTTACCCTCTCCCGCATGTGACGCCCCTGAATGAAATTCTGAAATTTCGAATACGGAGTCCTATTTACCATCGAATGTTTATGCCGTACACCAATTTTTAAAAATTTGTTGTGAAGGATTTTAAAGTTATAGAGAAAAAACCGTCTTTGAGGTGTCCTATTCAAAGGGCCGTAGCTCCCTTAGGAAGCATTTTCGGATCCTTATCAATAGGAACTTTTTGCCTTATTTTCATGCAAGGAATACGCCTCTGAAAGGATGCCGCTTACTTTTGAATCACCCTGTATATATACACTGTTGATGGCTCTTGTTGTGACATAGTTTCAGTAAATAAGCCAATAACACCGTCTCCGAAAGAGTACTGCAGGTCCTTTTATCTTCCATTCGACTTCGCGGTTACGTATATTACTAAACAACCACTAAATTCGCAATTTTTTGAAATCAAATTACAGAATTAAACTGACAGATATTTGATTACATCAAAAGAATGATAAAGATGCGCTAAGCTTCGGAAGACATCACAACCAGGAGCTAAAATCTACTACTTTTTTCCCTTGTATGATAAATAGCTATTGCTTAACGATCGAGCATCGAGCACAGCCATTTCAATTTATTGTATGAGTATACTGAAGATACTACTGTATTAGCGAAATATGACCTGTTTTAAGAATGTCGTGAAAATCTGATCGTTTGGGAATTTTTTACGTTAGATAAACGTTATATCAAGGTTCATGTGCCCATTGAGTAATTAATATAGCGATGATTCAAACACTGAAGCAACAGTGGATGATCCGTTCCAATTACCATGTCTTATAAATTGAATAAACTTTTATTAATGGGTAGTACTACCCTCGTCAATTTAACGAAAGCATTAAACGTTTATACGACCTAATGATCACACCTGTTATATTGAGTAAGAACCTATCCAAAAGGCCGATATCAAGATCACGTTTCAGTACGTGAGAATAACGTTTCAGTATTTCAACGTTTATTTAACGAAATCAGTATAAATATGCCTTCATGCGACATTTTTATCCCATCGCATGTTCCGATCTGGTTGATCACAAACATTGAAATAACATATTGTTTCAATCAACTGTTTAAAACTCGCGTTCATAACGTGACGATAACGTTTCATTATTCAGCATTATAAGTTTCATTTCAAACTCTCAGTAGTGGTTGTGCATTGACACGAAGTAATAATATGAAACAAATATAACGTCTGAATAACGTGTTCAATTATTAGTTTGTGACCACGAAGGTGCGCGAAGCCTCAACTCGACGGGTTAATCTCGCGGGGACTGCTAAGGGAGGTACAATTGTTGATATTTCAGAAGAGCATCGTCTATGAAAATATCTATAAAATAGAGCCAGATCGCCAACTTTTCTACGGTGTTCCGGAGAAGTGAGTGAGTTTGTGAGCGAGGCATCACCCACGAGACGAATTGCCCTTTTTTGGACAGAATCCAACAGTTACAGGGTATGTTTGGGTGCTGCACTCCAAATAGGGGAACAGTATTTCAGGACAGGTCGGATCTGTGCCTCATAAAATCATAAGCAGCTGACTGGATGTGAAAAAGCTCCTGGCCCGAAACGAAAAAACAAGTTTTTGGGATGCACTTTTAGCAATTGATCTCTCGTGATTTTCCCAAGATAGGTTATTGCTGATAGTAATACCAAGCATCGAAATGGATGTCTTCAAAGGTATGGTTACTCCTGACATGCTTATGTTTGTCACAGTGAGATCGGCTTTTCTAGAGAAAAGGCATGCTTGTGTTTTGCTTGCATTGAAATCTACCAAGTGAAAATACAATTTTAATTTCTTCAACATCTCGATAACTTTAAGAACTTGATGATCCGTGGACCGTCGGTTGAATTTAGGCACACCCTTTATAGTAAATGTCAGGAAAGTCGCCCCCGCTTTTCCGGCGCGTGAGGGGGGCAGCAGGGGTAGGAGGGTGAAAAAGGCGCCAGCCTTCCTTGGCGTCTATCTAGCGTCGCGCTGCGCGTTTGTTTACCAACATTTGCGTATCTTCGTTGCGACGTAACTGGGTCTAGTTGGCGTTTATCTAGGTGTGGAAAGTCGGAAAATTCGGGAAATTCGAAAAATGTGGTTGACGGTTTTCGGGAGTGTCTTGGTGCTGACGGTGGTTGGTGTTCAAAATGGTGGGTAGATAATTTATACAGGGTGTCCCGAAATTACATAGAAATATTTCAACCACAGATTCTCGGACTAAAAATAGTCAAAATAGATCATGTGAACATGGGTCCAGAAATTGCACCCTAGGGTTGTTATAGCGACCTGAAGGCGAGCGCGAGATAATTGTAAACGAGGTGGTCTCTGATAAGCAATTAACCTATTTTGATCACTTATTTAATATAATTCTAATTTCCATCAAAAAGTATTTCTTGCCGAGCGAGACAGGTCGGCAAGTTGGTTCTTGAATAAGTCGTATTGAAATGCCACATAATCGTTCACAAGTCCCAGCTAGCAGCTTGTGATACATTCACGTGTATATATGCATCGCACTAGTAAAATATCTGTGCTTGCATACTCTTTAATCAAAGTCTATTACTCAACTTTGAGACACTCTTTAGTTATTATTTGAAACAATGAATTACGTTAACTGTACTCTCAATCTCAAATAAACCAGCGTTGCGCCTATCACGTGACACAACTGAACAGAACAAAACTCAAGAACGAACTTCCACAAAATTCTGCCGAACATTAATTTTGTATAGTTAGTGTATCACGTGACATGAAGAAAGCGAAAACTCAGCGCCAACTTGTTTCTGACCAAGATCTGATCAATCATTTGATGGTATTCCATCATTCGGGTGATATTTAGAAATTTCTCAACTCGCCTGAATCCATCCAAAGGAAACCATAATTAACATTCAACAAATGGTTCGAAACAAACAAGTTTTGCTTGACAATTTTATTGTTATTCTCAGAAACTAAACGTATCATATGGTTGTCTTCGCATGGGCAAAAGCTATAAACTCATCTCAGACCCTTTACAGTGAGTGTTTGAAGAAATCTATTGGGACCCTTGGGACCCCGCTGACTTGGATCGAGCTAGCCTTGTCCGTTTTACAATCCAAAAATGATATCTTGATACCATGTCCTTATTCCTCTTATATGACAATGAATATTTTGGTCGCAACATATCAAAAGTAAATCTATTCAAATTCATTTGCTATAGAGCCGTTGTTCAAACCTACTCGTTACAAGAGAGTTGTAAACTATTATTTTGTTTCGGCTCTCGATTTCGATGAACTGTGAAATATACTGGGCGATTGATTTTAACCAGCTTATGTGTGCGATTAACAGTTTTTTATCGCTTTCCTGAAAGAAGATAAAGATTAATTGAAAAGTTCAATTTGGTAATTGTGTGTATTTGCTGTTTTCATAATACTATTCATGGATTCATTTCGGCCATAATTTTTCCTACGGAATAGTATCTTGAAAAGTCACTGTTTCTGTTTCTTCTAGTATTTGCGGAAAGCGTAGTCAGAGCAACAATTTCAGGAGAATCAATGTAGCCATTGATAATTTTATGGAGGAATAATAGATCAATTTCCATTCTTCTATTTATCAACGTATTCATGTTTAAAATACCTAATATTTGTGGATAGCTATATTCATCCCTATTAAATCCCATGTGATATGCACAACTTCTTAAAAATTTATTTCGACAACCCTCCAAAAGATCAGAATCAACTTTGTGAAATGGTGACCAGATCAAAGAATTATATTCAAGAATAGACTTCACCTGTGCACAATAAATAATTTCAACAGCAATAACAGATAGTTCTTTAGCAGAACGGCATTTTACGAGCACGAGATGATGTTTCTATTATATATGTGATGTGATGATATATCGCTGTGCTAGAACAAGGGTCAGACAACTTGAAAAACATAGTTTTGAGATAATCGATATTTAAGTTTAACAATGGTGATTTTGACGTAATGAAACGATATTTTCTTAGAATGTCTAGGTCGAACAGAAGATAATTGTGTTTATAATACATTCTTGAATCAAATTTCATTCAATTTATATCCACATCCAGTTGATGGGACTGACTTTGATCAAATTCAGATGAGATGATGAAATAACCTAGTATTGCTCAGTTTTGATGAAGATATATCGAAGTTGTCCTAATTCCGTTTATAAGATGTCCTAGTATTTCACCATATTTAGTCATCACTATTCAATATTATCTCTTTCCGTGGCAGAATTGTCCGACTATTGCATTAGTTTTTGGTGAATATATCGAAGATAAGTCTTTTTCATCGATGATATCCTACTATTTCATTCTATTGATCATTGGGTTGATTGATATAACCTTCATTATCTTCTAAGTTAACTGAGTATTTCGTTCATCAATTAAAGAGATTTTGTAATTTAACTTTATAATCAACTGAAAAATATTTTCTCAAATGAAACTATACTCTGAGAAAGAAACAATATTTATCCTGTTGTCCAATGTATATAGTAATACTGACAGTTTATACTATAATAATAATGGAACAAAAACAAAATAACGAAAACATAAAAGCAGTATTTTTCAACAATGACGATAATAAAATATAAACATGAATTATTCAGTCCTCTGACTCGATTAGGTTTGGCCTTTTTTTAAAGATTTGAGGTTTCTATAGAATGTATGGTACACTGAGGGAAAAAATTTGTAGCCGTTACTAAAAAATTAGTAACTACAGAAAAATTTTTTAGTACGATAGGGGACAGCAAGCATTAGTTGTTGCCATAACTAATTCTGTTTTTCTGGAAACGCCTATTTGCCTCAAATGAAAAGTTTAGTTGAGTCATCTACGACGTTGTTGTGGTAACTAATAAGCCTTTTTAAGGAATAATACCAAGTTTTATTTGCCACAATCAAGATACATAGTTATGACAATTATATTGTTAGTACTGTTTCAATATATGTTTGTTATCACAACAAATTATCCCAGTTGGGACAATTACTCATTTCTTCTGACGTTAATAGTGAGTGTGTTGTTGCAAATTGAATATTTAATTGTGACTGAAATGGAATCTAGTTACTATTAAAAGTGATTTAGTAATGGTTGAAATATAATTTAGTTATTCTGGCAACTTAATAGTTTTATATCAATTGAAATCAAGGCCCCATTCTTATAATAACAGTTTGTATGCCATTTTCCTTCCAATTCCCAATGGAATCGTGAACAGGAATACACAACACACCGTAAGTGCCAAAGGCCACAGCTCAGCAAAAAGAGAGGGAATTATCAATATACACCGTGTACACGTGACGTCGGATGGACGTTTCTCACCGTCGCCCGTCGTAAACTGAACTGAATTGTGAATAGGTACCTAAACCTGATAACTAGGGACGCACAGACAACGATGGTAAACTGCGAATTATTATTTTGCCAACCAAATGCCAAATGGCTCAGCGCGAAGTGCAAAAAAACACAAAACAGTGATTTGACAACACACAGAGCAGTGAACCAGCAAGAACACGACGCTCCCGGCTACACTAGACAATTATTCCATTTATTTTGTCTAAGCTCGACGACCGTGCGATCTACCCACTATTAAGATACAAGTTCAAATGATGAAACAGAAAGACAAACAGATGCAAGATGCAATTTTTGCTGGTGGGTCCCGAAGAGGCGCGAGGCGGTCCCGAACGACGCAGTACAACTAAAATTATTAGTTATGGCTAAACAATTTCTGCTATGAATAATAATAAACCTTTTACGATAAATGTGTCATCAGTTGTGGCAAATAGTCAGCTGTTGTTAGTAACCCCAGAATGAGGTTTTTTAACCCCAATATGAAATTTTAATTGACTGAATAGACAACACTGTGATAATTCTGTCACAAATAGTATTTTTATTGATGACAAATAATTGTCGAAAAATAGAAAAGTCATTTGTAGGAAATAAGGATACGTTGTCATTGTTAATAAAATTCCAAATATTTTTAATTATCGGTACTAAAAAAATACCAACTAGACGTTTTAATTACCCAGTTTTCCTCAGTGTACTGTTCAGGTATATAAGGGAGTAGGCTGATCAGGCTTTCCTTCTTCTTGAATGTTATTTTTGGCCTTTCTGAGTATGCTTTGGTCAATTTTGGATACTCTTCTTTACACTTCAGCATCATTCTCTCAGAATCTTTTTCGGAACTTTCTTTTCAATCTGGCCATAATGTTCAGAGAAAATATTTAAATCTATAATATCCGAGAATTTTATATCTTCTACTATGTAGATAGGGATTTCCAGTCTTAATCTGAAAATCTATCCTCCTAACATTGTGAAATACTGAGATATATTCAAATATCTTTGCCTTTCACAAAGGGGACATTATGAGTGACACAAGTTAAATAGATGAATAGTAGGTTATTTTAAGTTATCCGTATAATGCACTGGATTTTTGTTCATTTAGTTTTCGTGAAAGGCTAGGTTATACGAGATATGAATGATTTATAAATTGAATATAGGGAAACCGAGTAAAGCACTGGATTCCTCGTAAAATTTGGAACTAGAAAACGCCAAAAAGTGAAAGTCGCATTTTTTCAAGTTGTCTGACCCTTGTTCTAGCACACACTGAGAGAAAACTTTAGTTATCATAATTGGAAATCTGATGACCGTTATTACGATATCTGCAATAAATAGGGGACAGATGTGTTCATTTCCTACCATAGATGAAGTGAATTTTCAGGTGACTTATAGTTATGGCAGCTTATTCTATATGCAAACTTGTATAAAAACACCGCTGCTGAATAACTACTACTTTTTCTAGTTTCTATGATAACACAGAATGTCGAATAGGAATTATTCCAATGAAATGTTGCAGTAACTCTTCACTCTACAGTGGTTATTAGACTATCGACATAAAACAGCATGTTTTCATTACTGGCACAACCATCTTGAGGTAACGCAGTAATACGTCTCATTTTATTATAGTTATCTGATATCTGCATGAAACCTGACATTTTGACATGCTATTGTAATATAGCTCATTTTCAACAGCTATCCCAATATTTTTCTACTCCAGTATATTCATCACACAGCGGTAATGAGGTTATCTAATTAACATTATTCGATGGTATGCATTATGAAACCGTGCTTTGAATTACTGCAATTAAAGTAAATATCCTATCCACACTCACTTTTCATGATCCAAAGTTATTGTTTTCAAAAAACAAAAAAATACGTTTAGTCTCTGAATTGAAATATTTGGGTATCTGTGGAAGTTTTTTGACATTACTCATTGATTTTTTCGGAGAAATATCAACTATATGCACACTGACGAATTTATTAAGAAATGAGAAGTTGAATACTCATATATTCACCCTTCCTTCGGAGTTATGATGAGAATTGTCAATAAAACTTTCCTCACAGAAACCCAGATATTTTGATTCAGAATCTCATCGATCATTTCGTTTTTGAAATAAACCAATTTTAGGCCGTGAAAAGTGGGTATAGAGAATACCTTGTCACAGATTAGTTAATCTGTGACCTTGTTTCATTGCAATAATGCAATGCACGGTGAGTTCCACAAGTCGGTTCACAGCCAGCACTAAAACAAAACTTTGCTACATCACAGACATTCACCTAACAATAATTGAACACGGGCATCCATGACCGAGAACAGCAGTGAAATGAACGCGATCTGTATCTTTGTCAGCCCCAATACTAATGAAACACTAGAGCGAAATGAGCCGAATTACGATTGTCGAATGATTGCCTAATAACCGTCATACATGTGAATTGCTAGAGTTATTCGTCAACGTACAATGCTAGAAACCCAAACAGCTATGATTATTGGGACAAACATTATCTGAATTCACCAATGAGCATAATTCACAAAACGAGCTATGTTAATAAAAAATCTAAATAGACTGGAATTTATAAAATTCTCATAATGTCATAACACACCTGCGTTATGATGGTAGCATATGTCCATTCAAGGGTATTACAAATGATTTAAGAAATCGATTTTTATAATTACAGAATGGAGAGAATACTGTTGTAATAATAAAATGATCAGGAATAGGAGATTTCCTTATAATGGTTATTACAATCAGAGCTGGTAGATATTTTTAATATCCAGTTTCTCTCAGTGCAGCGATATGTGATTGGTTACTGATAGATCAGTGTCATTAACTCTGTAAATATGATCAATAGCATCATGGCCTCCTGAAAATGTTATCTTTTGACATTAATTCGAATTCAGTTTTCATAAATTGATATGGCACCATCTGGGAAAATTATTCAGATCGAGCTGCAAACTCTCAGCATCAGAAATGCATTGAACCGTTCTGAACATCTTCAGGTCATCGGCAAACATCAAGAAGGAACTGTTGATGATGACATCAGAGAGGTCATTAACGGAAAGATTAAATAGCAGAGGTCCCATGTAAGATCCCTGTGGTACACCTGATGGTACTTCGACTCTACTAGTGAGATAGCTTCTGATCCAACTTAAAATATTCGCCTCTATACCCAAAGCTTCAAGTTTTGCAAGTAACAGACTATGGTTTATACCTTTTCAACTTCAATTTCGGAATCGGTAAGTTATATTTCGGAAAAAGTAATCTCGATTTCAGAATTGGTTAGTTCGATTTCAGAAATGGTAAACTCAATTTCAGAATCGGTGAGATGAATTTCAGAAAAAGTCCATTCAATTTCAAAAATGGTAAGTTGTATTTCAGAATTGGTATGTTCAATATCATCAAAAAATCCTTATATTTGTTCGAAATGTTTCCAATTGCATGTGAGACTTTGATAATTCCATTTCTTATTTGAATACCTACGTATAAAAGACTAGGTTGATATTGCATGATTATTTGCATTTTTTTTTTTTTTAACTTGTTGTATCTTATTATAATTTCATAATTGTATGTATAACATTATGTATAATGTTTATGTATCCCTATTATAAACAACTATGTTTCTTGGGGTAATAAAGACAATCAATCAATCAAAATATTCAACTTTCCAAAAACAATTTCATCCACAGATGCCTTCCATCTGAATCGCTGGAAGATAGTGGCGTTGTACATGATTATAAGAATGCGAACACATTTGAGGTGTTATCATTCTCATTGAATGATCTGCACATTCTTCAAGACATCGCAGTCTGAATTCTATCTGGTTGAGCAATCTGTTCGGATCCCCAGCTATGACCCTTTGGCGATGCTCTTGCAAGAAGCTCTTCACTTCTGACTTGAAGGCACCCCATATTATGTTCAATCTTATTCAACATAGGGCTCTCAAACACCGTTCCATCCACTGTAAACAATGTTCTCTTTCGCAATTAAAAACATTTCAAACATATAAAAGGATTTCATCTTCTGAAATTGAACCTATACCAATAATAATTCTGAAATACAACTTACCATTTCTGAAATTGAATGGACTTTTTCTGAAATTCATCTCACCGATTCTGAAATTGAGTTTACCATTTCTGAAATCGAACTAACCAATTCTGAAGTCGACATTACTTTTTCCGAAATATAACTCACCGATTCCGAAATTGAAGTTGAAAAGGTATAGAAAAAATTGTGTCAATTCGCGAAAATCACGAAGTGTGCGGCCTCTGGTGGCTAACTGTACAAGTCTTGCGAGTATGAACAACAAATATGGCGACCATTGTTTTGAATTTCATAAATTGGAAAATAATTTATTTGTTGAAGTGCATATTCCAGAACCTCATTTCTCCTTGATGAAAAAACTCGAATTATTGCATGAACTTTTATTGTTTACAATGAAGAAACCAGTACCTACCTTATAATACATTATCTGAAGCACAATTAGAATCATTGTATAAATGTTGGTTGCAATGATTCGATCTTGAGAATAACTACAAGTCCTCAATTGCTGGAGATCCTTGTTTATGTAAATCGATGATATTGTTCATTCTGAGCAGCCTCTCCAACCATATCTTCTTTTCCAACCCCTTCACTACAATTCCATCTCCTTCATAAAAGCCAGTGATATTTCTTGATGAATTCAATTATTACCATATTGTTGTAATAGCTGATCGCTTGTATATGGTTCCATTCCAGTCCATGCAAGGGTTGAGTGGATCATTCCGATCTATAAATAGGAATGTTTGAAAACTGTGGGATTGTAGTGTGATATCCATGATGAATACCACCATTGTCCACATCAAAATGGCAATTTCTCTGCACAAAAAGTAATTTTTCCATACTGGAAACCTTGAACGTATTTCAAGAAGTCAACTTATTATTTACTATTTTGCAAAATGATTTGGAAATAACCAATTTGCAATGAGTGCATACGGCAATGTTTTTGTTGTTCATACTCAGTTGGAAATTTGACGTTGATTTGACGTTTAATAGAGCCATCTATTGGTTCGTGATTTTCGCGAATAGAGTCCTTGCAGCTTATTCTCTAATGAATTGATTATTCGCGGGAATCAATGTTACCAAGTGGCGCTCGGTTTTCATCGTTCCATGTCAAAGCCACGTCAAAACTGGGGGAAAACAAACTCAATCCTCACTCAATTGACTCAATCCCATTAGTGCCATTAGCTTGTGTACTGTGTATTGATAAGAGTGATGTTTTTAAATTTCTTGACATTAATTGTCAATATTCGATCGAAAACGCTAGTAATGCCTGTTGTAGATGTTTTTTTTGGCAGATATTTTGCTCTATTTAGATGGAAAAAGCCGACCAGTAGTGGAAGGAGAAGCAGTTCTCCGTGCTAATCATGTGATTGTGTGTGAGGCAGAAGACTTCAACAAAAGGCACATTTTTGTACTTTGTCTACAAACTTCGGCGATGAAATCTTCCCCACATGGAGTAAAATTGAAGTTGGGGTCCAGATGAACTCCTGTAGAACAATTGATTTGTATTTGTTCATGCAAAGCAGGATAATCTCGGTATTGTAAACATGTTGTGGCTGTTCTTTTATATGTCAATTGATTTGCTCGTCATAATTAGATTGAATATTTGAACTATCTCCAATTTTTCACCCGTTCACTGTTCACTGAGCTAATAAAAATGTAATAATGTAAAAAAACTAACCAACTTAACCATCATCACTACCAACAGTGCCACCACTTAATGTCATTGACAAGTTTGACTACAGCTACAGCAAGCTTAAGAAGCAAGCTGAATGCAATGTAGTCTATGCACTTTATTCATAGACAACAGTTTGTTTTCCCCCAGTTTGAAGTTCGTATTATGTAATATAGATGTCGCCCACTTCGTGAATCTCGCGAATATAATTTTGATGAAGCAACAGGTTTGTTGATGTTGATCGACCCTCATAGAAACCATGTTGTTGGTTAGATAGTTAGCAGAATGAAGGGAAGAGCCTAACATTTTACGAGCATCTGTATGTGTGTGATTTTTCGACTGTTACAGCACACGGTGTTCAATGCTACAGCTGCTTCTCGAGCTCCAACCACGACGACTGTGCTATACCTGACCAGCACGAGATCTCCCTGGTCAAATGCGACATGAAAGAACTGAAACAAACCCAAGAATTCGCCAGTCATATAGACACGAGCTACAACAAACTGTTCGAGGTCGACAGCATCGAATCGCAGCCTGGAAGGATGGGACTAGCCTGTCTGAAGATGATCACCAAACGTAAGTATAGGGTGCAACAGAAGTCCGTTTTAATATTCAAGTGAGGTATTCCTGGGACAATTTTAAGAAAAGAGTCCACACAGGGTGTTGCGGAACTCGACCGACAACGCTTGACAGGTGATAGTCCTCGTGATTTCATAATCACTGATATAGGGACATGCGGTCTTCAAGTGTTAAGTTCTCGAGATACAGGGCGTTGAGTTGAGAAATAAAAATAGTTGTTTCGCAATATCTCAAGAAAAATTGAATATAATGCATTCAACTTCCGTATATGGTTTCATCTTTGAATGGGTCATTTTTTGACCAGGAAGCCATTCCGAACATTTTATCCAGTGGTGCCGCACAGGGGGCTGTGGCAACTTTTCCTCCCATATTTTCTACGCCACTGATTAAATATCTATTATTTCCAATTCCACGGATTCATTTGTTCAATTTTGTTCAAATAATTCATCACCTTCTACTGAGCTGAAATGAACAGTTTTCGAGATATTCGACCCAAAATAGAAGATTGCATAGTAATATTTCATCATTTTCAGTTGTAGAAAATTGCAAAAATATTTTTCTGGTGTTGAGTAGATCAGATACTATTCATATATCATTCTGTAGCTGAACAGAAGTGGTTATTCCACGCATAAAGAGTCAACAAACATGTTTGAGGAAGATGAAATATTACTATGCAAACTTTTGTTCTGGGTCAAATATCTCGATAACTACTGTTAATTTTGGCACAGTTGAAGGTGATGCATTTTTTCAACAAAATTGAACAATCAATTCGAAAAATTGGAAATAATCGAAATTTCATCAGTGGCGTAAAAAATATGGGAGGAAAAGTTATCACAACCCTCTGTAGCGCACCTCTGGATAAAATTCTCGGAATGTCTTTCTGGTGAAAAACTGGAAGTCTGCGAGTCCAAAAAAACTGTTTTTGGGCGTATTGCGTTTACTATTTTTTCGGCTACCATGCAGAATAACAAATCAATCATACCAAAAACATGATTTTCTGTTTCGGGCCAGGAGCAATTTCACTTCCAGTCAGCTGCTTATGATCTATAAGGCACAGATCCAACCTATCCTGGAATACTGTTCCCATATTCGGAGTGTAGCACCCAAACATACCCTGAAACTGTTGGATTCTGTCCAAAAAAGGGCAATTCGTCTCGTGGGTGATGCCTCGCTCACAATATCACTAACTTCTCTGGAACACCGTAGAAAAGTTGGCGATCTCGCTCTATTTTATAGATGTTTTCTTGGATGATGCTCTTCTGAAATATCAACGATTGTTCCTCTCTTGGCAGTCCCCGTAAGATTAACCCGTCGAGTTGAGGCTTCGCACCCCTTCGTGGTCACTTGAGAGACCTGCAGAACATCTGTTTCCAAAGACTCGTTCATTCAACGAACAGCGAGGCTCTGGAACACATTGTCAAGCCGAGGCATATAACCTCCAGAAATTCAAGAAGAACACCAATTCCTACCTTATTTCCCTTGGTGCTCACGATGTTCTCTGAACATTACAGGATATCCCTTTTCGTGGGAACCAGAACATAAAAAAAAGAAGAACATCTTTATGCATAGATCGACTCATACATCTTTTAGGATGGGGCACAGTATAATATACTGGGAATAGGGCAAGATTTTGTATCGAGTACGCACTGATGATGGGCAAGATTTTGTATCGAGTACGCACTGATGATGACTTAACAGTTGAAAGCGGTCTGCTACGAATATTGAATAAATTATCTTGAACGAAATGCAAATCTTCTCTTCTTTGGTAAAAAGAGTACTGACGATTCAGTCAATCGATGATCAGTTTGTTTTTTTCACAGATGGCAACAAACACTACGTTCTGCGAGGTTGTCAACTGGCTGAAAAAGGGAACCTTGATATCTGCAGGAAAGTCCAGGAAACGAATAATGAAATAGTGAAAACTGTGCATTGTTCTAAATGCACCACAGAAGGCTGCAACACATCCCCAAAATATGAGTCCAATACGATTATAACTCTCCTTTTTGCAGTATGTTCAAAAATATTACATAAAACTTTACTTTAATTGATTATATAGTTATAGACTTAGAGGAAATAGGCGGTACTTGCGAATGAGACATTTATAAAACGTAATTTTCTCGATCGATGTTGGCTTCACAATAGTATATTGATTAACGAGCAAGGAATGATAGTGATTTCCTACGAGAATGAAGTTTGCAGCATATGAGCCATTGTCGAATTCTGCAATCATTCGAGTAAGAAATTGGCATTCAGTGCTAGTTATACACTATGATTTTTCTACGGCTATAATAGATAACAGCGGCATTTTCGATTTCTTCGTCTTGTAGCCATCTGATTTCCTGTCAAGTAATGCTCATCTGTTGGACATTGTTTCACATTTGACATTCCATGAGCGATGAGATTTTCTTGAAATAATAACACAATGAAGTCATTGTGATATCAGATACGGAAATAATATTGATGACCTACATAGTACCTCATTGACGTATCGAACACAGTAAAACAAGAGCAATTTTGTGTTATAGCCGTAGAAAAAAATACAAATTGCGTAGCAATACATGCACATAACAATTATTGCATGAAAATTTGTGTACCTACCATAATAGATGGACAGTGGATATACTTATGGTAGCTATTTTTCGACATTTTTATACCGTTTACAGAATTATTGAAGAAAAATATGCCAAATTTTGATCACGTTTCACTGAATAAGTGGATGAAGGAACTTTTTTTTTCGGATTCCCAGAGAAAAAAAGAATGCTTCGACGCTAAATTTTTGTGTAGATTTTCACTAGGCTACCTAAATATATTTTGAAACAGATAACAGACTGGAAAAAATCGAATTTATACTTTGATACATTGCTTCTATCTCAACATGTTGATATTGTGATTTTTTAGAAATTAACAAATAAATATAGAAGTATTTGAATTTGAATTTTTCACCCTAGAAAATAATATAGATTCTTGAATGTATTAAACAAATAAGTGGGTGGTGCCTATCAAGAGTAGAATCTACTTTTTGGCAATCGTAGGATTATAGATTATAGAAATAAATATGCATAAATTACATAATCATATGGGTATTATTATATCTTCCGTTTTTAGCTACAATGTATAAAATACCTACTTTCGTATTACCTGCTACAAAACTAAAAGTCATTTTTCCTCGAATCTAACCAGACAAACCAGGTCAACTTTATGATGACGTCACGGTAGCCTTATCATGACGTCACGGTTTACTTTTGAAGCTTTTCAGAGTTAGTTTAGATGCTGTTTTTGTTTCAAAGAAAAAACAAAAGACTCAAAGTCAGTCGACCACACATTTATATAACATTAGTGCAGCGGAACACAGGGTAAAAGTTATCAAAACAATTTTTCAGAGTAGAAAGATATCAGACCCTCACTATCCTATCTAGAAACTATTGACTCATTAGAATCCAGATTGACTACTTTTTTCTATGGTACCGAAAAAAGTTATAAACGAACAAACACAAAAATTACAAAAAAAAATCTACTTCGCACGTAAATGTATAAAACTTTGTAACTTGTAGACCACATAACTTAGATGCCTCAACTTCTCATCATTTTGTTGAGGACATTATGAAGATTCGATTCATGGTATATAAACTGCCCAAATGAGGTTTTTTATAAGTAAAAATAAATTTTTTGTCATGCATTACATGAATAATTTAGCATTAACACCCCTTCAATTTATAATAACTTTCTTTTTCACGATATGAATTCCAATTTTTTTCTTTCATCTAGATAGATTGAAGTAAAACGAACAATTTGTTTCGAATAAACTTTTCGCACGTTTCATAAATAAACTTTTTATAGCGCTTTGAATGACAACGTGCAACTTTAGATAGGCTATGCACAGTGAGTGAGACAGAGTGCGATAGATACTGGTGCATGAGTGCGGAGCGAAGATGAAATAATATCAAGAGCTCCATCCACAGATATGATGAATATACTAGATTTATATCGATAAATTTACATATTTGCTTGCTTAGAATGTCAATCTTTATATAAAATATTGAATCTAACTGAAATTCATCACATATTCCCCTGAAAAACTAGTGAAAAGTTTGTTATCATAAATCTGAGACCCGATGATGCAACACAGTATCTGTGGAAGAAAATAACACGATTACCTATATGTACTGGAAAATTTGGATTTTTCTTGTAAATGTAACATAATTATAGTGTATCTGCAACCTCATGAATGCACTTTAAGGATAAACTGTTAGTTACAGAATTATTCATTATTATAAGGAATTATAATTTTGTCAATAAAATATTTCGATGGATTGTATATCAAATTATTTCAATGTTCGCAAAATATATAAACAATTCAATCGATTCACTAATTATTTATACATATATCATTGTTATTTAAGTAGTTGAAGTCGATCAACATGTACTTATTTGCATTTGCATTTCAAATTATCGTCTCTATGGCATTGTCTTTTATTTCAAAATTGCATGATTTGTCAGAGCAAGAAATATTGAGCATTTCTTGTATATCTCTGGATGTATAGGTGGCAGAGTTGAAAATACTGATGATTTCAGTAAAATTCCATCATGATCATTGCAGTTTTACTCTTGCAATATATTTTATATTGTATTGCACAGCCAGGAATGAATTAACTACCTATACAATTTGGGTGCATTTCATGAATCAACAAAGTTATACTTTAGTACGCACCTCGGTACGAACTGTGTGAATGTATTTCTTGTAGAAATAAGTTCGACAGAAGACTTGAAAGTATTGACAGTGAATTTGTGTCTTATTAGCTGATCTAAGGTCGTAGCATTACTTACATAATTCCTTGCTATGTCCACATAATCCAATAATTTTGATGAGGTAAACTCTCAATGTCGTCTTTTTTTTCCCTAGCACTATCTAATGCAAAATCTTTCCATTTTTGAAAATAGTATCACTTTAATCAGATCCAGTAAGGGCATGTAGAGCCGGTAGTTTCTTGCAAAATTCTATTCCTATAGACCATTAGGTACTGATAGAATTAACATAAATCAAGTTATATATGAGAAGTTTGACTGCATGGCCATTTTGGAAACAGAAATTTGTATGTCAAATAATAGAATCATAAGAAATACAGAATGATGACAGAACATCAGTATCATCCGACTAAAGAGAATATTACTGGAAGATTCGGATTCTTCCAGTAAATGTAACATAATTATCTGCAACCTCATGGATGCATTTCAGATTTCAGAGATACCTACATTGTTGGTAACAGAATGATCCATATTATTATCCTACATTCACCCTTCCGATACCTCGATCCAGCGATGGTTTATTTCGGAATACTAAATGTCTGAATATTATCAAAAATTAATATTTTCGCTAGAAATATTACCAGGTTATGTTTATTCCTGGACGCCTTTGAAAACCACTGAGATTTAGGAATGGAGCAATTTCCTTTTTTCGAAAACTTTTATAATTTGTATCTCCTCGTCTTTATTGCTCTATTAGCTGGTAGAGATTCTACGATCATATCTGTCGAATACAATAATCACATAATTCGTCTGGAAATTTTTCATTTTGAGATCTTTTATTATTATTCATAAACAGAGCTGACCTGATTCACTGAATGTTCTTTTCAACTCTTTCATCTCTTGAACTAATGAAAAAATAGGAAAAGAAACACATATCAACTCATATGAAACAAATGTCTACTAGATTTCTGTTTTTTCAAACGGCTATTGAACATACCATCTGTTCTTTTTACTATATAATATGTATACTATATAGACTCACCTTCTTTATTCATTGCATTCTTCTGATAATCGGAAAATGTTCAAACTTTTTTGACGTTGCCTCCGTTCAAAAACTCCATCCAATATCATTGTTTGAGCAGCATTCAAACATGTCATAAAAATTCTTCAATATATTTTGGTATACTATTATTTGTCCAGCTGCAATTTTCATTAATTTTTTTGGGGACTCATGTTTAGAAAATTCTAAAATCTCCCAATATCTTCTTGGTCTTGTTTTTATACCATTTTCACTTCGTTGCCTTTGAAGTGAATTATTTTGGGACAATATATGTAACTGAAGTTATTTACCTACATATTCAACCGTGAAATGACTCGTTTCAATCCATTGTAAAGTGTAAGAATGTTACTAGCAAAAGAATCATCAAGAAAGCTCCATTCGCTAATGAGACAGTTATCCTCCCCGAATCTTTACTGTTTGTTCTTGTCTAGAACACGTAAACGCCGCTGTATCGTTCTCACTCGTGCGCTCGGACGGCCTCTTACGTATAAGACAATAAACGCTTCTACAAAGTTTATTTTTGAAACGTGCGAAAAGTTTATAGGAAACAATTTGTTGCTCACATTTCAATATATCGAAAGATATCATAAAAATCGAAATTCATATCGTGAACTAAAAAGTTATGATAAACTGAAGATATGACATTGGAATTTTTTTCGCGAATTCTTTACAAAATGATACATTTTGGATCGAAAAATACTCCAATTTCCCAACATTTTATATATGAATCGAATCTCCAGAATATGCTTAATCATTCTATGAAAAGACTGCGTATACAAGTGCTATAATTGTGAAGTTACAAAGGATAATATATTTACGCGCGAAGTTATTTTTTTCTTAAATTTTCGAGTTTGGCCGCTTATAACTTTTTTCGGTACCATAGAAAAAAGTAGTCAAGCTGGAATATTATGTAGTAATCATTTATATTCAAGGTGGTGAAGGTCCCATATCTTTCTACTCCGAAAAAAAAAAAGTCTGTTAGGAAGAGGATTTTGCCTCGTTCTCCTCTGCACTACATGTTTTTGTTTATTGTTTGGTTCTAGTGGTAATACTGATATATTGAATGAGAAATTCATTATCTGTGAAAAAAATATAACAAAGATAGTAACTAGGTACTTACCTACTACAAATTCAAGAAAATTTGAACAATTCGCTGCATACACATATTTACAATGCATCAAATATTTGATGAGATATTTCATTGATAAATACTTCGTTTAAATCCATAATTATCTCTTTTTAAGAAGTATTATTATTTTTTCTCAACAAGAGCCCAATCCAGTGGGCAATCAAAAGCCTACCTCAGTGAGCTGGTTTGTATGGTTGGTTTACTATTACGTCATAGTTTGGAATACAATTCGAGGAAAATTGATTGGTTAACTTATTGTTGACCCGGTTTGTGTGTTTAACTTTGAGGAAAAATGGCTAAAATAAAAAACTGGAGTTTATTTGCTTCTCTGGTTAGTATTCAATATCTATTTATACGAAATTTGAAACAGTACTAAATTGTACTTATACCCAATGATTGAATGAAAAACAGAACATTTTCATTCAAAAATTACTTCTGTCTTGAATTAATCAATTTGTTTAGTAACCATAATTTTTATTTTATATATACCCTACAACAAGTTATACTTCCTAAGGTTTCCTTCGTTTATTCTATACCAATATGTATACTTTATTTAATTTATATTATGTCAACATCTTATTATTATTATTATTATTTACGGGAAACCCGAGAAGTCCCCGAATTTATCACCTCATCCTAATGAGATTACAAACAATTAGTGTCATTCAGATTATTTTAATAATCAAACAATCATCAGATTTTTAATGATCCGAATTTAATAATGAAATTTTACAAGTTAAATAGGTATATACATGCAATTAGATGTCAATAGTACGTTTACTTTTTGATTATTTCCCGATATGGCGATGATCGTATAATCTGGCTTGAACATAAATATAAATAAAGACAACATTTCAAAGTGTTCAAACGACCCTTTATATTGATATAAGTATAGGAAATCGCGATATTCAACAAATAATATTATATAAAACCACAACAAAAATCGAGTTGAATATAGTCAAAAACAAATAACTTCCACTTCTTGCTGAGGTGTTACACCCTTCTTTGGAGCAAATACACACTGTCTTCTTGAGAAAATCGCCATCCCCTTTCTTGCAGGTGTCCATTTTTTCATGGTTATCCAGTATCCATCCACAGCTTCTGTCAATTCTTGTGCTGTCTTCTAAACGGATAACTAATGGAACATACAATATATTAGATTATTATGATAGTTACTCATAACAAAACCCTGATAACTCAGAATAGTTATTTATGTATTAAGGGAATTATGAGGGCCTTAATTACCGATGGCAAAGTTTGCGTCCCGAGGGCCTCTGGCCCGAGGGACAGCAATTGCCAGAGGTTATTAAGGCTCTATAATTCCCGTGATACATAGATAATTTTATTTCTGACTGATTTCATTCATAAGATACCTTCCCGATTGGAAGTTAGACATGTTTTTCCGTATAGTTTCAATGTCATCAGAACTCAGAACGTCAGATGATGATCTTGACTACCGCGAATAGGAGATTCCTTATTGCTACGTTATTGCGTGGTTGTTGCTATGCATTTCTTATTTAATTTTAGCTAGAGGGAATTATAGCATCTATAACATCCCAAGGGAGTTATGACCCTCATTATAGATATCGTAACTATGACGATATAAGCTTATAATGTCACTGTCAGAAATAAAAATGTTTAAATAACTATACCGGGTGACACAGGACTACAGGAGACATGTAGCAGCCTGTAGTTTTTTCATTTGGAGAGATAAAATATTGAAATTCACAGGGGGAATATAATAAATGGTAGCGCACTTAACGAACTTAACGACAATTTTTTTCAACCACCTGTTTGACCGGAAGTGACCCCAACTTTTTTTTTTAATATCACCCTGTACATTTCTTCAGTCTATCTTTTTCGCCTTGAAATTCTCTATCCAACCATTTAACAGAAAGTGGCATTTTTTTCTTAGTTCGCTGTTGAATTGCTTTTTATTCAAAAAGAATAAGTTGGCTGTGACATGAATTCGATGATATATCGACACTTGAGAGAGCTTCTGATGCAGAAGATCACTTCAAAATTTCTTTTCTCATTCCATATATGTACATTGTACACCCTCTGATATCTTGAAGATACGCAAACAGCGTGATCTATATCGTGTTAACACCCCGAAAATCTGGAAGAGAAAAATTATATGGCCCCCTTAAAAATATAGCTAAATTCTACGATATAGATAATTTTTTAAGAGGTCGACTTGGATGTGAATTTTTTTCGCCTATATTTTAGGGCCATTGACATTTTTCTATCAATATCTCTCACCACTTGTACTATTGAAAGATTTTTTAGTATACTGGGAAGCGGAAAATAGCTGAGTATGGAAAATCAAGGCTGACAGTATTATGCCTTCTAAGGGAGTTCTAAGGTGCTTACATCAGAGAATCTTCAGAGAAAAATTACAATCAATATCTTCGGGAAAAATGTTGAAAGAAGACCGCAATTTCAATTTTCAAATATAGTTTATAGTTAAAGTCGTAACTCATGGTTCATGAATATTTTCAACATTTTGTCCTATCCGCCCCTTCCCCCCATGCATTTTCTTCTGGCGACACCCATGGTCATACCATGAGTTCCCGTACAGTCGTCTTCAGAAAACATGTCACGGTTGGACGGTGTAAGCGCTCTTATTGCAGCAGTGATTTAGAGCACACACCGTCCATGTGCGACATGTTCACTGAAGACGAGTGTACGTAATACTATTCATTCCAAATTATTTTTTTCTGGAATGGTTTCATTTATGATATGGAACACATCTTGACGGGTGTTGCTTGGCAACTAAATTTCGTGAACAATGAAGCGACATAATCATCTAGACTCTAGAGTATTTAGAACAGAAGTGCCTAAATCTTTCGAACCATTCCCAATACTTGATATGTTGAGAGTGTTTTTGTTGATTATTTTTTGCAATAAAATTGTGCAGGCTAAGATTTAGGCTTTAAAGAAAGTATTTTCTTCCTCTCGAGACCCCGAGGCTGTTGCTAATCATTCAAGTTTTTCTACGAGCGAATGCGCATGCGTCCATATTGTATCACGTGATTCACTGTGACCAATCTGGCAATGAGGTTTGGGAATGGTTCGAAAACTTTAGGCTCTCGTAAAATTTGCAGTCGGCTCTTGGACTACTTGTTCTTTCGACTTTATATACTACTCATATAATAGATAAGAGTTTATACCAGATGTGACGTATTTCCTACAAAACGGCGTCTTTCCATCGTAATTTCCATCACAAGGTTTGTAGTAACGACTAGTGGTGTCATTAACTGTCAAATTGGCACATGCTGGGTCTTCAGCTGAATTGCATTGAAAACAGTTGATGCACAATCCTAAAAAAATAGATTCTAATAAATAGGAACTATAGGGTAGTCTACTTGAAAGTATCCACCATCAATAACTCCCAAAAAAATTAATAAAAAATTGCAAATTGACTCTACGACTATCTCGAAATCAATAATGTTGGTCTTTTTCTATCATTCAGTATTGCCAACCAGAAAGTAACAAATGTCGCTACGTCACCACAAAAATTGCCTACGTCCCGCTACAGTTGTGTCTTTTATATTTTCGATACACACCAGTATATTTTGGACCAACAATCTGGATACCAATTGGCATTTGATTTTTTTAATAAATACAAAAATAATTCTACAACAAAACTTGCACTCTTATTTTGTAAACATAAATATAAACAGCTAAGTAAAATGAAATCCCGTAAAATCCTTAACTATTTTTCAACAGACCCAGATAAGTTTGCTGCTTGGCAGCATGTATATGTTATTACTAATCATTTATACACTTTTTTATGTACTGTACACTCCCACCAAATCATTATATAGTGGATACAACATAGGAAACAACATTGATTTGTTTTGTTTCCATTATTCAAAAGACTTGGAGAACCCCCGAAAAATCGTATTTTTCGGCATACTAGAACCCTCTAACCCTTCTCAAAATTGACACTGACATTGGGTGAACACAAAATGATGTAGTTTTTAATGAAAAAATCACCTACACGAAATTGGTTTCATAATATTTGGAGAAAAAATATAAGTTTCACACGGCAGCAAATGTAGATTCTTCGCTGAATTTCTCGCTACGCTCGGCTAAACAGGGGCATGCCAATTTCTAGACGATTTGATCCGTTTTTATGATCACAATTTCAGATAATCTTTTTTTCTGGTTTACAGTGGCTGTAGCTCAGTGAGGGTGCATTTTAGGGCACATGTTTCACATGAAGAAAAAGTCTTATTTCGATCCCAATAATACCCCCTTGAAATATTCACATCGAACTTTACTATTTTTTGACGAGCAATTTCTGAAAAATAGCGTTCTAAATCTACAGAAGTGATCTAAACTTGACTGCACAAAGATGCATGATTTTCAGGTTAGTATTTGAACAGAGATTTTTGAATTGATTCTCCTTTCAGTAAAACTAGTCAGGAAATTAGGTAACAACTTCACATCTTTTCAATAGGGGCAACATAATATCTTTCTTTTCAACGGTATATCTTACTTTACTATTTTTTGATAACCAGTGATTAGAACTTGCCTTAAATCAGATACATTGTCTTCAGGACGAAAATTATTGTTTTGAATCTTCCATTGATGAAAATGGTTAGAAGGTTAGGTGGCATCGTTACAATAGAAATAAATCTAGTCTACACACGTTTGATTTTTTGTTTGTTGGTTATATTACTTTGAAAAAAAAACTTTCAGAGTGCCAGATAGAAATTTCAAACATCTATTCACGTACTATCTTATAAACTGTTCGAAATGTTGTCCATTTTGTTCTAAACAGTAATAAAGTCTGTTTTCGAACTCCTCTCTAACATTCTGGAAAACTTCACCACGAATCGAGCGGCATGCTGCTGTAATTCGTCCTTTGAGTTCTTCAATATCCGTCGGTTGTGTTTTGTAAATGACGGATTTAAGATGTCCCCAAAGGAAAAAATCTAAAGGAGTCAAATCCGGTGAATTCAGAGGCCACTCAGTTGCTCCCCTTCTGCCAATCCATCTATCCGGGAATCTGTCATTTAACCACTGTCGGACAGGAAGAAAATAATGAGGTGGGGCACCGTCCTGCTGAAAATGTAACAGATCCTCCTGCAGAAGTAAATTACCGTCTGCATCAATTTGATTTTCTAGCTCGTGAGTTATAAGAGGATCGATAGTATCTTCAAGCATATCTAGGTACAGATTTCCAGTCAAATTTTCTTCAATGAATAAAGGACCAACAATGGCATTTCCAAGAATACCAGCCCAAACATTAATTTTTTGTGGTTGTTGTGTATGTCCTTCTCGAAAAATGTGAGGGTTTTCGTCACTCCAATAGCGACAATTTTGTCTATTCACATTTCCATTCAGAAAAAATGAACATTCATCGCTGAAACAGATATTTAATAATAGATTAGGGATGGCATTGACTCGATTTGACATCGTTTCACAAAATTCTATTCTTCTATCATAATCATCCTCATGGAGCTCTTGAAGAATCTGCATCTTATATGGATGAAATTTATGTAATTTCAGTGCTTTTCTCACAGTCTCGTGTGACATTCCCGTCTGTTCTGCCACTGAACGTAAGGAGCTAGTAGGTTCTGCAGCAAATGTTCCCAAAACTTCAATTTGAGCTTCTTCATTCAGTACTCTAGGATTATTCCTTTTTTTATTTTTCACCGAACCAGTTTCGTAAAACTTTTCCACCAAATCAAGCACATACCGGTGACTAACATTACAATCTGGATTTCTTTCATTAAAAAGAAATGCCGCTCTTCGTGCGCACTTTCCAGCCTCTCCATAAATCACAATCATTTCAGTTCTATTTGAAAGAGTGTAAACCATTTTCACAATTATAGGTACCTACTCTGAATAAACGTATTACTGATTAGCTCAACAAATAAAACTCATCAATCAATAATACTACCAGATCGTTTGAATTTGCTGAACAATTTTTTGCTCAAAAAACAGAGTTTTTTTAAATCAGCAGTGGCAAGAAAGGAACAAAAAAAGGAGGCCATCTGTAGAATTGAAAATCCAATGATAAACGCAAATAAGCTATCATCGAAATGTCACTATATATTAGATTATTGATGTTGATTTATTGGAGCTGATGGCTAATTATGTTGCCCCTGTTGAAAAGATGTGAGGTTGTTACCTGTTTTCCTGTCCAGTTTTACTGAAAGGAGAATCAATACAAAAATCTCTGTTCGAATACTAACCTGAAAATCATGCATCTTTGTGCAGGCAAGTTTAGATCACTTCTGTAGGTTTAGAACGCTATTTTTCAGAAATTGCTCGTCAAAAAATAGTAAAGTAGGGTACCGTTGGAAAGAGAATTGAACGCCCTTCAAAATGATGTTATACTTGACCCCTCTTCCCTATTCATATTCGGAGGGTAACATCTACCCCTCCTAGGGGGTTGAACCATGAGGGTCAAAATGATTCATTCGAAGTGTCCCCCTCGAAAATAAAATCGACCTGTCTTTTCGTTTTTCCATATTATCGACTTGGAGGGAGATATTGAGGGTGGGAAGTTTTCAAATTGACACCCTGTATAATAAATGCGACTAACGACTTACCCACAGTAAGAAGTGATAAAAACACATAAATACCAACAATATAATTCTGGGCCATCTTTCAGGGTAAAATGGGTGGGGATACCTTTAACAAAAAAAAACAATTATTTTACAGATATAATTCAATATTCTATGGTTTTATTCAGGAAAGCAGTTGTATTTTGTTAGATATTTTAACAATGATCTTGTTATTATACCGACTCTGTTTTTTAAGAATGCTCGGTGGCCCATATAGCACCAATACGTTCCTAAACTGTACTGCGAACGTCCAGCCAAGACGTTTCGTACGTACTGGGGACGTCCAGATTCCGCGCATTTGATAGTAGATTGTTTTATTAGTATCAGAAGTGACACTTTGTTTGACAAGCAAATTTTGCAATTGCAAGGCGGAGCATTTAGCGAAGACGAGCGGAAGCAAAATTTGCGAGTCAAACAAAGTCACTTTTGATCAAAGTTCAACTTCAGCTCCTAGGAACTAAAGTTCAACTTTAGCTCCTAGGAACTAAATATGTTGCCTAGCAAAATATCTATTTTTGTGTCAGTAATAGAAACGTCAATTCAAGAGCTGATTTTGGTATCAAAATGGACGACTTTTGTGTCGGTTGCAGAAGGAATTAGATCTTTCGAACTCTGTCTAGAATTCTTTTATTTTAACTATCTGAGTAAAAAATGAATTTACGTTGATTCAGGTATTTATGATCCTGAATGGGCATACTGTTGATGTACCTACAAATGCGCGGAATCTGGACGTCCCCAGTACGTACCTAGTACGTTTATGGTTTTAATCTGGACGTTCTCAGTACGTGCGAAACATCTTGGCCGGACGATCTCAGTACGTTTTGGAGACGTACTGGTGCTATATGGGTTACTAAGCATTCTAAAGAAACAGAGTCGGTATAATAACAAAAGCATTGTTGTAATATCTAACCAAATACAACTGCTCAGTTGAACGTTCAGAATAATCGATAAAATCTTCAAACTTAGCCATCGAAACAACCCTGCTCATCCCTATTCAAAATCCCTGGTAAGGGGTTCAAGTCACGGGGATGAAGAAAGCAGACAATTCGTTTCCGCTCGAATCAGAAATCGACGGATTCGAGCGTTTTTTTTATTTCCATTTTAAAGCACTAAATTCGGAGTGTGAACTTTTCGTTGAACCACCCTCTGCATGTGAAAGATTTCACAATACGTAAGGATTTTTTATATATTATATATTATAAACACTAAACCCTACATAACTTGTTCGGAAGCACAAATATTCTTCAGAATTATGATGGATAAATGTTTTTATTTTTCTTACCTTGGAATACTTGTCGAATAATACAGTAGTAGCTGATAATTCCACTGGAAACACTGCAATCAATATTGCTATCAATACAATAAATAAGTACCTAGCAAATCGTCTTTCAAGTTATTCGTCCATTTTTCATAAGAGAATCGGATTATAATATAATTCCGAAAATAAACTTGATTGAATGAATTCCTAAAGAAACTATCAATAATGTCTTATCGAGTCTATAGTCCTTTCCGATAGGTCATCACATATTTGATCAAATTCCCATACTCACTTTTATCAGAATTAATGACCTCGTTTTCTGATACAGGGCGATCTATGTTGAACCATTAATTTTATAATGAGGAATGTCTGGAAAACTACCACTCGGAAGTTCAGCAATTTATTATAATAAATGCGATTAAATGCTTTGATACTATATACAGGGCGACTACAAAATATTGATTACATTAATAACAAATACAGTGTGATTCATGATTTCTATGAATGTGTGTATGAGCGTTGAATAATATCAGTATCCTGTGCTCTCCATCTAAGATAACTGAGCGAGTGATTATACAGAGGTTACAGGAATTTATCGACGACAACCAGCTGATACCAAATGAGCAGTTCGGTTTCAGAACTGGCCACTCAACTGAACTACAAGTCTTGACACTCATTGAGAATACAATATCCTTGAGAAATGATAGACAAAAGACCCATCTTGCTCTCCTTGACATAGCGAAAGCATTTGACAAGGTGTGGCATGATGGTATCTTAAGCCCATTGAAGCTGGTGTTCCTCAGGGTGCAGTTTTATCGCTGCTTTTGTACAGTTTATATATATATACAAGCAGCTATGAACCTCCAAAGTGCGCTGAATTCTCTTCAGAACTACTTCCTGAGATAGAAGATAAAATTGAATCCAGCAAAAACACAATTGGTCGCAATCGGAAGGGAGCAGATGTTTTGAAAATGTTGGCATGAAGATGTTATTTTGAGACGTAATATGCACTGACCAAAGAGGTCTATAATGGATATTGAAGTATTGTTTGTTCTTCTGTGGCATTTCTTTGTTTGCCTACTGAGAGGTATCCCTGGGATGTTTTGGGATGTTTTAGAAATGTAGGCATGAGGATGTTTTTTTGAGGCGTAATATGCACTTCCCAAAAGAGGTCTTAGAAGGATATTGAAAGTATTGTTTTTGTTCTTTTGTGCCCTTTCTTTGTTTGCCCCACCACAACGTCTCATGCTTACGTCACAATACGATGAATTCTGATTTGTTTTCGATTTTGTTCTTCTTGTTCGCAATTGGCATTCGCGTTTACAGCGTGTCACGCTTACATCACGCTGCTAACGAACAGAAAGAAATTTGGTGAAGTTTATTGCGTTAGAAGACTTATTTAGTTTGTAATAATGACCATCAGATGCAAGATGTGTTGTTCGGTGCCTCAGTGTAATCAATATATAAAAGTACGAATTTATCAATACACAGCTTCTCCGCAGTTGCAAAATTATGCATTGTGGAGAACCTTTCAAAAATTGGGAAACCTATTTCCAATTATATGTCTGTGTGTACCAAGCACTACTCAGAAACTGATTAAGAAGGTAATTTCATATCAAGAAAATATTTTTATGTTCAATCTATTTTTAATGCATTTTCTCATTCAAGGGAAATGGAATCCTTATGCAAAAGTTCATTTTGACAAAAGGCTTCAGAAAAGTACCTCGAAAATGTTTTTTTTACAGCGATTTAATGTGCGCAAGACGCGTAGAAAAATTTTTTTGTTGTGTCCATGAAAAGGCTTTAAAAAGAACTAGGGAGAAGGTAGTTTTGTGACATATCAAGGACATCTTGATAATTGCCGCCTGCGGCGGACATTGGCTGTTCTATAATAGTTCTATTCATGTGTGAACAGAACATCGCAGTGGAGGTTCAATGTCTCGAAATCTCGTACTTTTAACATCTCTGAGATGTTTTTGTGCTCGCTGGAAATAGTCCTGGATGGTCATGAGTTAGAGTGGTCTTCACAAGTTAAATACTTGATTGCATTGACAAAAAGCTCACCAGGGCCCAGCACATTGAACAGCAAGTTTCAAAAGCTAAACGAGCCATTGGAGCACTGTATCCATTTCTAAACAGACGAAGTAAATTGGGTTTGAGACAAAAATTGAATATTTACATCATAGTTATCAGGCCAATTTTACTGTATGCCTCGGTAGTCTGGGGCCACACAGCTAAATCTCACCAGATTACAAACATTACAGAACAAAATCGCGAGAATGGTGACAGGATCTCCTTGGTATGTTCGGAATAACCAGATCACCAGGGATCTGAAACTCCCTTCCATCCGTCCGTCATTAGAGAACGAAACATCAAGACTTTCGAAAAAGTTGAGGTTCATGAGAATCAGCTTCTTCGAAACGCATTTGATCATGACCCAGGTGATCAATCAAAGTTCAAAAGACCGAGATTGTCCATAAATTAGAGAAATATATCAAAATTATGACCAAATTTACTACTCTCAAGTTTTTGATTGATTTGATTTATTTGTTCCGTTCGATCTTTTTCAATTCTCAGAATGTATTTCTGAAACTTATTTGGGACAGAAGGGCTGTTCGCATCAAACTTCAATACCGGTTTCATTTTTTTTTTGTTTCATGATAGATATCAGGATAAGAGGGACTCTTCCCTGGTCTGAATCAAATAGAAGAAAGATCCAAAAACAAACTTTTATCAGAATTAATGACCTCGTTTTCTCATACAGGGTGTTGAACTATTAATTTTATAATGAGGACTGTCTGGAAAACCACCATTAATGCGATTGAATGCTTCAATACTATTGATCACATCAATAAAAAATACAGTGTGATTCATGATTTCTATGAATGTGTGTATGAGAGTTGAATTATAATAAGAATAATAATCATCTCTCTATTGCGAAAAGATCAACATGAACACAGCAACCGTCAGAGGTTACAGAACATTTAAAGCTACCTGTATGAATTTTCAATTGAAAAACATCATAACATGCTATCGAATTACCTTTACATCACCAGTTTATCATTACATTTAAAATACATCATTACAAGTTATAGAATTATACCTGATGCACATTTTCTGAGTACATTTACATTTGAAATACATAATCAGTACATTTACATAAATCACACCATCAAAAAATTTACTTTTCATTAAGAAAGATTAGTATAGTACCTATTCTACTTATTGCAAACAACAGTTGAATGAGTAGAAACATTGGTTCTTACTTGTTGTAATATCATTTTACGTCCCTCTCCCAGCAGCGTAGAATATTCTGACAACGTTCAAATAGACTTATTTTAGAATATTCTCATAGAATGTTATCAGAATGATCAGACTTGTGTAGTATTCGAATACCCGGTATTCTGAATCCTATTCAGAATACATTTGGCTGGTATTCGAATACTATTCGAATACATTTGTGAATTTGGTATTCGGTATTCGACTGAATACTTTTTTGGTCAGTACTCGGTATTCTGGATTCTGAATACCGTTTTTGAATCCCAGTATTCAAATTCCCACTTTGTATTCGAATCCCGGTATTCGAATCCCGATATCCAAATCCTGTATTCGAATCTCGGGATTCGAATCCTGTTTTCGGATACTTTTCGATTATTTCTATGAATTATTGCGTTACGCTTTAACGGAGCCGTCGCTATATATTATTGGTTGAGCGTGTCAAAGTTCAAACATATATTTTATTAGTTCCTATGTTTTATTCGAAATAGAATGGATTTTATTTTAAGTTTTATTTATCATTTGAGATTATTTTCCATTATTATCTTCCTAAACAATTATTTTGTGTTACCTTACTGTTATCCAATGTACCAAAGTACTTTATTTTGAGTTTCATTCATTAATTGAATATCGTTTCATTTTGAATAATTTTTCAAATAAAACTAAGAAATGAAAATTAATGGATGTTTCTTATTTAACCTCATTGTGGCACTTTGTATCAAAAAGTTATTCATCAAGTTTCATTCAATATAGATTTTCTATTTTTTTATATATATTTTTTTAAATTAACTATACATACATAAATATAAACGAGCTTTATGTGCGCAATTAAATGTTTTTTTTTTTTTCAGTTGGAATATTCATAAAATATTCATATGTGAATGAATCCAGGTATTCGAATACATCGGTATTCGAATACTTTTTTTTCTTCGTATTCGAATCTTGAGTATTCGAATACAATTTAGAGTACAGTATTCAGGATTCGTATTCGAATACCGGATTTCAGTATTCGACCCAAGTCTGATAATGATCATAGAATGAACATTCGATTTGACATATTCTCAGAATATTCTTCTTGAATATTCTGAGGGTTATTGGGAATCGAATCAAAATATATGATATATGATGTTCCTATTCTTGTATAAATATTTATAATATTCACCCTGACACAACCTTAGGGAGTAATCCTTTCCTGATCTACAAACAGATAATCAGGCCTGTAATGACATCCATTCCAATGCTTGGTATTACTATCAGCAACAACCTCTCTTGGGAAAATCACGTGAGATCAATTGCTAAAAGTGCATCCCAATAACTTGGTTTTCTGTTTCGGGCCAGGAGCTATTTAATAATAATAATAATAATAAATGGACTTTATTCATCGATAATTAATAATTTATAAGAACTAGAGATCTACAAATTATAATGATGCTCGATGAAAAGGCGAAGTTCAGCTTGCGCTGTTTTACAACTTAACCATGTAAGGTAATATAAACATATTAATATATGAGTGAATATAATTAAATATACACATACAAGTACATCTACGACGATAAAATATTCACATATTCAATACGAATACAAAAAGGAAGCTCACAAACAAAGAAAAAAAAAACAAAAAAAAATCAGACAAGGCGTTGTTATCATCCAAAATCTATCCTGCTTTGAGGTATTCTTTCAACCTTTTCTTGAAATTCAGCAATGAGTCGTTTTTGAAGTGATTAGGAAGAGAGTTATACTGCTTGATCGAGTTATACATGAAGCTACGTGTGAAACAAACTGATGAATGCTTTGGAATGATGAAGGTGTCACGGTTACGTGTACTCGATTTACCTTGAGATTTAAAGGTGGTATATCTCTTGTGGATATAATCTGGCGTTTTCATTGTAACAAATTTGTGGGTATTCACGAGGAGG